AAAAAATTAATATAATTCTTTTGAACCATATTAAAAATTATATTAGATATTATTTTAAAAATATTCTTCTAATTATATTATTATTATTATTTTTTTATATATAATATTTAAAAATATTATCTTTATGATTAAAATATGAAAAATTATAATTAAGATATTTGTCATTTTAAAAACTTAGACAATAAATACATCTAAAGTTTTTGTTTATATAAATTCCTTTAATTGGATAAATTTTATATTTAATATTTCTTTAATTTTAGAATAATAGTTACAAATCCAATTACATATAACATATGAAATATAATTCCTATTTGATCACTCATTCCAAACCATAAATAAAACATAAGGTCAAAAAATTGAAACAAAACTAGAGAAGTATGACACAAATGTGTGAATATTTCATATAAATCCTCTAACTATTTTATATGGTACTTCAAATATTTTTTATGATAGGATTTTTAATTTCTTATGATTAAAATCTACCTAATAATGCATTAAATTCTTACCTTGCATTCTATCAAGCAAAAACTATATTACAAACTTTGAAAAAAGTTAGTGCCTCCAACCACTTTAAAAACAATAATCTCCACATATGAAATTTTACTTTATCATAAGTCAATTTGAATATTTTTATATTTATATTTCTAAATTTTAAAAATATTTATTAAACTATGATATTAATCTAAATCAATTCCAAGATTAGATTCAATAAAACAAATTTATATTAAATCTTTTTTTTAAATTAAAAATACAAAATTCTATTAAGTAGGTTAGATTAAAAGAAAACAATTGTCATAGATATACTATACAAGTAACCAAATAAGAGGTTGAACGAAAGTGTTCTAACAAGACAACTAACAAGAATTTAATAAACCAGATGAGTATAAGATCAACACTAAGAGAGGTGAACTAGAACTTCAAAAGATGTGTTTTCAAGACTAAGGATCTCCTTCATCTCAACTTTAATATATATAAGGTTTTAAGAAGCTCCTCAAGAAGTTCCCATATTGCTTCAAGATGAAGCACCCTTAAAAAGCACTTCAAAAAGTTTTCTTGTTGCTTGAAGATGAAACAACTTTAAGAAGTTCTTCAAGAAGTTTCTTTGTTGCTTAAAGATAAAGCAATCTTAAGAAGCTTCATAAGAAATTTCTATGCTACTTGTAGATAAAGCAATCCTAAGAAGCTTTTCAAATAATTTCCTTAATCCTCCTAAAACTTTTTATAACCTAATAAAATATTCTAAAAACCTTCTAAAACCTTCTAAAAATCTTCTAATAATATTTTAGAAACTTTTGAAACCTTTTAGAATCTAATAGAAAATTTTAAGAATATTTCTAAAATCCTCTTATTGGATGTCTCTAACATCACCTCTCCTTCTAATTTTGAGTTCCTCAAAGAGTATTGATTTCATATCTACTTTCTTTGATACATACAACATCTTATTAGTAACTTTATAGAAAAAAGTCATTTCAAAATAAGTATAGGTTTTTGAAGATAGTGTTGATGAAACTTCCATATTTTTTGCAATGTATTAACTAGATTTTCTATTAGTTATCACATACACTTATTAATATTGTAGCTATGCCAATGAATAAAATATTTCAACTTGCCTCTTTTTCATCAAGAATCAAGGATCTTTTCTACTCCATATTCTATGTGATTATCTATTTCAATGTAAGGCAATGATCATTGTATTCTTTCTGAAATAGTTGATTTTGAATAAGCCTTCAAGAAAGAAGCATGAAAGACTGGATGCACCTTTATAAATATAGGTAGCTCCAACTAATAAGCTATTGAATTGATTTGCTTTTGAATCCAAAATGGCCCCAATTTTTGATAGTCTAACTTATTACATGTCAAGGACAAGAACTTGATGAAAAAGCAATTCAGACAAGTGAGCCTTCACTCAAAGAAAGGTAACAAAATATAAATAAACAAGTATGTATATTGAAAGAGAAACTGGAATGGCTATTGCCAAAGACTAGAAACCATGAAGACTCTTGAAACTAGACTGGAAACAAGAAAGGAGTTGACAAGAGTGAAGAAGGCTTCACTCTTGTCTCTGTATATACTATCTAACTAAGAGCTACGTGGCGACGTTCTATAGGACCTCCAATATGTGTTGACTTTGTAGGATACATGCCTTGACTTACAAGGCAAGTTTTTCTATGTGTGGGCGACATTGTTAGCTTAGCGTTCAAGCTAACAACATGTGTGGCACATGACCACATTCAGAACATGTACTCCCATCGTTGATGGTGGAAGGAAGCTTAATCTAAAGTAGTGGACATTCAAACTCGATGCCTGTGGATGGCATTCTGGTGGGGGGGTCTGGGTCGGGCTTGAGAATGAAAATCTCGACACATCAACAGCAGGGAGCATCGCCCTCCCGGATTGGATCCTTCCCGCTCTCACACGTAGTGCACGAATTTCGCCGCTCGATTGACTTACAGTGGTGGATAGATCCTGGATGGATTTTGTGTTCCGGAATATGGTCCATGCGCAGCTTGCTTTGACTCTGGGTGAAGAGAATCGGTGGAGTGGCAGGATGTGCAGCGTGATGATCGGCTGGGGTCTGATCTGGTGTGTGTTTCAGTGTTGAGTGTGGAAGGCCGTGTGATTGGCTGCAAAATGAGGACTGTTGCTTGGATTGATGCGGTGAAGGTGTGTGCATGTGTGAACAAAGCTGTTCTGCTTTAAGGTACGGAAAGAGGGGGGGGGGTGTGGTGCATTCCTGGTCCTGTTGCGTGATTTAGTAGTGGCACGAGATTTCTGATTTTCAAAAGGGTTTCGGGAGGTTTCGGTTAATTAGGCGAACATCTGCGGGAATCACTGCTATAAATTCGTGCGTTTCACGAAGTGAGAATTGAGGGCGTGCGAGTTGATTTGCAAATGTCAACAAGGAAGGCCATGAATACCGCACTCTTGGACTCCACAGACGTCTAGCACAAGTTGGGTTCCTCGACTTTCGATCTGTAGAAAGTGCACGGTGCACCTCTGTGTGCACAGTAATCACATATCAAGAGATGTGATTCTGAGGACTAACTGCGTGCTGTCGACATGCAAGTACCCTGCTCTTGGTGAATTTTAGATATGAATGTTGTGACGGAATCACTGCACCTGAGTTTCGTGCCAAAAGTGGAGCCTGCTGATCCGACTTAGGAATGTTGTCTTGGTTTATCTTTCTCTGACATTGTTGCATCCTGCCTTCAGTGTTTCGCTAACTTTAAGCGAGAAAAAGTTGAACATGACTGGACTCAATGGGCAAGGCGACACTGCAGGATGCTGTCCATTGAAAAAATCGAGGGCGGTTTCACGATGAGGCTTCTGAGCAGGGCGCCTCACTCTGGATTGTCTCCGTCTGGACGATTGAGATCCCTGCACAAGATAACAGAAGGAAATCATTGAACCCCTCATCGCAAAATTCATGTGAGCCGACATCCTGGTGTCAACACCATGAGAAAAAAATGGTAGGTATTTTCCGTCACACCGTTTTTGAGATTTGTGCACTCCGAAACACAATGAGCAGATCAGGTGGCATTTGCCAATTGGATTTCTTGTTAAGAAATTCTGCGCAGGCTGAGAGCATCGGGCACCTTCCACTTCGTAAATTTTGTGTAATTGTACACATTCTGATGTAAACCGGAGACATTTGCACCAGAACTTGTGTAGCTTCTCAGTTGCTCTTTATGAGGTGTTCGGATTTCCTTTTTTATTCTTCTTCCAGACGGACGTCTATGAGTGCATTGGCACAGTGTGCAGGAGTGATTTAGATAAGAAATGAAAATGATGGACATGTGCGGCCCCTTGTAATCAATGTGCCGAAAGGTCAAGACCATCGTCTTGCCACTCCAGGAGTTCTAACCAAGAGCGAGGTACTGTGAAGAATCCTTTACAGCACGTCCAAGATATCCTTCTGTTCCCCCTCAGAAGATGTATCCACGTGGAAAACTGAGCTCAATAGAAAGCGAGAGGAAAGGTTCTCAACTAGAAAGAGACATCCGAAACGCTCGGTATGGGATATTTTGATTGCAAACCACGCATGCGCAGATATTCCGAGAATGATCTCTAGAGCTCGATCAAACAACTCACTTTCCTCGCGACACTAAAGCTTTTTATTGTGATTGATTACTTCACAGCTGATGTACGCGTCGGAGGTACAGATAAACAGTTTTTCACCTGAATGCCATGACCTGTTCCGCATTAAGTCGAACGCAGAAAAGGTATGTCTCGGATATCACCCCGGGATGAGTGTCGCTAGCCGGTATTGCTGAGTCTCGTGGACATGATCAACTCGATGGTCAAGGTTTCGATTGGAAAGCCTCAAAGCTATACAGTGAGTAAAGATGGTCTGATCCCTAGGCATTCTCTGGGAGTCTCAGTACATGTGTTGGGAGCACACAAGCGATTGACACATGTGAAGTGAGAGTGGATGCAACAAACTTTCCAGTACTTTCTGATCATTAATGGAAAGTTTGAAGACTACACGTGCTAAGCTAAAACTTCTCTACTTATTCGTTCATCATACTGTATGATTACAGGATTCTTGACTTTTTCTGTTGTCCGCATAAGTATACAGGAAAGAAGTACACTTTCGAAGATTCTCATGATATCAGATAGTATTAAGGGAGTACGCTCAGCGAACGATATAAATTCTTCTTTATCCGACATTGCACGTCGTCTAGTCATATATCTTAACATAATTGCGTAGTATCAGAAAAAGTATCAATGAAGGCACAATTCTTTAAGAGAAAATAATGAAGTTACAATTCTTTAAACGCACTTAATGATGGCACAATACCCTGAGAAGGCATTTAAAGAATGCTAACTCACTTACCTCTATACAAGACAGCATTGCTGAATGCAACTGCACACTCAGTAAATGGAAAAACAGAATGTCATTTATGACTAATACACTAAAACGAATGTGCAGACAGGGCACATTCATCGGCCGCTACACCGAAGCGGGCAACACAGTAAAATCAGTGAAACTGACGCAATTCAAGAATTAGAAAATATATTGGACACAAATGTAAGACTGGCATCAATTACGTCAGACTACAGCAAATAGTAGTTTATATGCATTCTATGAGAACAAAAAGTAGCAGAATTCCGAAGGGCCACAAATAATAAAAACACTCTACCTCAACCAACAGTAACAAATCTCATTTGGCTGGTATTGTGCAAGAATGACCCATTTTCTACTAACGTCCTGACAAAATGATCTCAAAAGGATAAAAAACCACGTCTCATGCTCTGATAATCTGCATTGTTCAATTCTAAAATCCAGCACAAACGAGCAGCTGACTACATAACATCTTTCCTACACAAACTACAGATAACAAAACACGGGATGTGATTTACCACCTTTCTAGCTTTGAGTGGCTGACACAGCAGGAGGCTGACTAGCTGGAGCAGCAGGCGCACTTCCAGCAGCTGCATTATAATCATACCCAGTAGCTGTTGCTGGGGTCGTTGTGTCTCCAGTTGTAGCAGCATACCCAGATTGAGCTTGTCCATAACCATATCCTTGCTGACCAAACGCTTGTTGATCACCCTGTGCAGGCTGTGCATACGAGTAGCCACTGTAAGCAGGTTGAGCATATCCCTGCTGGGGATATCCTTGCTGACTATACGTTGTGGCTGGGTCACCATAAGTTTGGTTTTGAGCAGGCTGCTGCTGATAACCTTGGTAATAACTTTGCTGATTGTAGCCATAACCAGAGGACTCGGTTGGAGTAGCTGTCCCCTGAGGAGTTTGGTGTACCTGAAATTACGAAAAAAAATATTCGCAGTTCGACCAAGCAGAAACTAACGACATGCTCTGAAACAGTTCTCAAAATGCTTGAAAGAATGTCAAATAAACAGAAACATTTTTTAGAACCTGCTGACTTTGCTGCCCATAGTAGTCAAAAGAGGTTTGCTGTTGAGGCTGTGCAGCAGACGCAGGTGAACGCTGCTCCCAACCAGAGGAATAACCTCCAGCAGGCTGCTGAGAAAATTGGCCATAGGCTTGGGGAGGTGGTTGTTGGTAGGGTTGGGGGGGACCAGGATAATGAGGTGGCTGCTGGTATCCGTAAGGTGGAGGGGCAGCTGGGGGGCCCCACTGCTGAGGGCCAGAAGGCCTGTATCCACCACCGTGCTGTTGGTTGTAGCCACCTAGAGGCCTTGATGTTCGATTCTGCTCAAGCATCCGCCAAACCAGCAATATAGAACCTTACAAAATGCACTTTCTCACGACATGGCAACCAGCAACAACCAAGACATACATTCTTGCGTAACTAAACCCGCATAATCTTTAGAGGCATGAAAGTTGTAAAAATTAAAGAGTAATAACCCGCATACGAAGCGATTAGCAAGTACACGGCCCAACAATGACACTATGCATACAAAGTTCAAGAGGCAGGGCGAGTAGGGCAACGCTGACAGTTCAATGTCATCACACCACAGATATCATTAGGTTAGTCAATATGCACAAGCTGGACAAATTACTCTCACCTCATCCAAATTTGGGAGTGAGCGTTCAAGCTACCGGCGACACATTGAAGCCCCATCCTTGCTCAGTGCAATTAAAGTGCACCTGTTCCAGGCTTGACTAAATATGCCCATCCCTTACATACATACATACGATGATAACTATAGAACCACAGAGGATGCACCTCCCAGTCGTAGTACGTGAAATTCATATGCTAGAATATACATCCTAATTTCTAGACGATATATTTCAGACCCATTATTTTGGCACTCTGCGTATTTTAAATAAGCAAGACTGTGCCAAAATACATCTCCATTACTTAGAAATAATATCACGCCATCGTTACCTGAAAAGCATCATTCCCCATATCTCGACTTTCACTGTGGGGAGGCCTAAGATCAGAAGTGATGCCATTTGAAGTCCAAATCCCTTTCTCAGCGGCCAATTCATGAAAATTAGAACTTAAACTCGAGTCCCATGCGGCTAAACATGGAAAAGGTGACAGCTTTGTTACACAAGTAACCCTACTTCAGGACCTTCAAGTCTGACAACTCATACGCCCTGATCTATGATGAAATTAGTTGTCCTAAAGATATGCTGATGAGCAATGAAGAACCTAAGAAACAATTTTTAAATGAACCAGTGCATAAAAACAGGTTTCTAACCTCTACAAGATTCAGAACGGTTCTACCATGTTTAGCAGTTATCTTTCAGCGAGATGTAGAAACTGTATGTACAGCAAAAGTTCTTCTAAGAACTCCAAAACCAACACGTGACATGTAGCTGTGTTCAGTACCTTCCGATGCTCCAGATGGCGCAACACACCCTCGATAACTAGTGAGCTGTCAGAATTAGAACTCATCGCAAACAAAACATGGCCAATACAATTATCCTCAACGGAACCGCAAGCTGAGCCAAGGCAAAGTGACGAATAGGTTTCTCAAACGGCAGTTTCCTCTACATGGACTTAAAAGGCGAATCAACGATAATATTTCGCAAATATGCACCAGTGAAGTGACAGAACGATCAGGAAATTCCCTTGCACAATCGAACGCAGTAGCAAAGACCACAGATACCAACTCCGGCAGGCACAAACAGGAACATATAATTTGAACTTCAAATGAACTGAAGGCAACTGTACCTCGTCAATTACTTCCTTGATTAATTCATACGCCATGTCCGTAGCCTTCTTATTGCCTATTAAGGTCACCATCCTCTCTGTAGCTCCAGGCTCAGTCTCAGAATCATTTTGCACCTGCAATACAAAATCCATCCACTATTACCATGTACGTAATAAAAAGGCTCCCGTTGCCGCGATGGTAAAACTACAATGATACATATGTATTTACGATGTGTTCGGTTGCGCTTGCATTTTCACCCTATCACCACCACACTGTACCTGAATGCGGGCTCCAGAACGACTCTGAAGGTTCTTAATCGTCTCCCCACCTCGTCCAATAATCAAGCCAACCTACAAAATTCCATGCAATATTGTCGATCAGATTGTCTGAAGCATTGAGAATTTTTCCCCGAACATATCTCTTGTAATAGGCGTCAGGTCAGGAAAATGACCTTGTTATTCGGAACTTTGACTTGTACTTGCTCTCCAGCAGGACCGACTGGACCGCCAAAACCACGACCACCGAGTCCTCCACCGCCGGGAGTTCCCGCGGAGGCCTGCTGAGAATCCAACATTAAAACATTAAAACCAACTCATGGACGTTCACTCCCACAATGCTCGCTCTCCATGATATTAAAACAACCAGAATTATCTATGTAATGTTAGCATCAATTTGATGGTTCAAATTGCATTACGCTTCTAGTGACATTGTCCAAGTTTAAAGGGTTTGAAAGAAGACCTCAGCAATAACATCTTTAACGAGCTGCTCCGCACGACTAATCTGTTCAGGGGTACCCATGAGCTCCACTTGTCGAGTAGAAGACCGAGGGTCTGACTCGCCATCCCTAGCCACTTGAATTCGAGCACCGGATTGATGCTGCAAATACTTAATAGTCTCTCCTCCTTTTCCAATAACAAGCCCAACCTGTCAATAAGACGAAACGGGAATAAGGGCCATACTCCAGACTTGCTTGAGCAATCGCCATCGGGACAACACTATTCTCGGGGTAGGAGAGATTTACGGCAACGGACCTTTGAGTTAGGCACATCGATCTTCCTGGACTGATTAGGACCCCCTGGGCTGTAAAAATTTTGACCACCATGTTGAGGTTGATGATACTGCTGTGAACTATGTTGTTGATAGTCCTGATGTTGCTGGAGCTGATGGAAAGGAGGAATGTCTTCCGGAGGCTGGTCGTGGTCGCGCTTTAAATTGTCATCTGATCAAGGCAATAGACTCCTCGCATGTTAGAAGAACCATCCTCACCGTTTCCAAATATGGATATAGCACTCACAGTGTCACAAGAAAGTCATCCCCAAAGACACCAAGAAGTGGTCTAAGGAACACCAACCCTACCTCAGAAGCATTGGTGTATGCTCAAACCAATACGTCAGACATCAGTCATCCACAAACAGGTTGACTTCACACAGAGCACATGTGAGGGCTGTGGATGAAAGCAAGCTCCAGATAAGAGAGCGAGATAGGAGAAGCGAAACCGACTTGTGCAAAATGGTATACTTACCAGCGAAGGTTTGACCCAGATCCAGACCATTAGTCCGCCCAGACCCGTTGTGATCCTCCGCGCTATTTTCTTCCGTCCGAGGACGCTTGACCTCAGCCCCGACCAACCTCGCGGCTATTAGCGCCGCTTTCTGCTTCGCTTGCTCGAACTCCGACAACGGGGGTGGCACACTGTTGTACGTCACAGCGGAAGTAGGGGCCGATTCCCCGCCGTCCAAGCTGTTCCCATTGAAGTTGCCAGGCGCAGGCTCATCCGCCGTCTCATCGAACTTACGCTTGTTCTCCAAGCGAGGCGCCTGATCGTAATCCTCCGTCACCAGGGCTTCGCCGTCGTGCGCCATGATTGCAGAGTGGAACACGAGCACTATGGCGGACGCAACGAAAGGGGACTGCGAAGAGGAAGCAGAAAAAAAAGAAGAAAAAAATGAAAACAAAACGAAATGAAGGCGGAGCTGAGGAGAGAGAGGGAGAAAGAGTAACCTTCAAGAAGAAAGTTGCAAGCGGAGGAGTTGTGCAGTAAGACCTCGGATGCTATATACACTGACCTAAAGACAGCCCGCGCTGGGCCGTCGATCTGCAGCGCCGATCGATCTCAGCTGTCCAGGAGGGAGGTGGAGCATGACTCTCCCCGCGCCTTCGCACTGACGCCCTATTGCCCTTTCCCTTTCCAAGTTCTCCCTGTGATGGAGACGCGCCTTGCCTTGCCTTGCCCTTGCCGCTGCCTTTACCGGCGTGCGCCGTTGCAGTATCTCCCGCCATGCAATATACAGGCCCCTCTACACTCTGTTCGTGACTTTGTTAGCCTTGGTTGCTTAAAATAGCTGGCCAACCAATATGGACCTCCCACCATTTGCAAGAGATTTCAAGGCACGGCTTCCCATTGGTCTACAACTGCGTTTCATTATTTTATTGTCAATTGTTGTGGAATGTTTTGAGAAATGTGCATAAACTAGGGTTAGGAAAGTGTGTCATCCTTCTATTGGAAATTAACGTACGCATTTTTGGGGAGTGGAAACGACGTTGTGCAACCGGCTTTAGAAATTTGACCTTTAGTACAGTTTTATTCATTTTTCACACAAAATCTATGTGTTACAAGGGAAAAATACCCCGTCGTTACAAATACGTGCTCGTGCGTACGGGAATGGAAAAAAGTTGGAAATATACATCAAGATGCTTGTGTGATGTGATACATCTTGATATCCTTGAGAACTTGAAGTTTACCAGGCTCTCTGTCGAATTTTGTTGCGAGAGCAGAAATGTCCAATTGTTTCTCTAGTTCGGTACGCTTCAGTGATGCTTTCTTCAGCCAAGAGTTTCGGTATGACGAGAAGCGGCAGGATTTGCAGGAGGTCTGGAGAAAAGAGATCCCTTTTGGAAGGGGATGTCCACAATGCAAATGAACAATTTAGCAGGTGCGTCTATGGTAGGAAATTCTTATAGTGGTTTTTATCGCCGTTATTCCTTCTTCTTTTTTCCTTTTTTCTTTCGCTTCCAATGTTGGTGCCTTGATGAGCAGCAGAGTTAGGTGGAAGCTAATCGATACATTTTTGGCTCATTCCGTAGACTGAGCAGAAGCGCCAAGACTGGCAGAACGTGATCGGTCGTACCTGGAAACAAGGTAGCCTTAAAACTGAATTTTTGCATGTTGATAGTCGTAACTTGATTAGATTTGTTGAGTGAAGGCCAAGTCTCAAGCTCTTCAATCAAGTGCCTGTCATTGAATTTCATCTTTCTCGTTGCACAATACCTTTGAGAAATCTTACACCTCAGATTCGCGGCAATCAAATTCCATGAGCTACTGTGTCTATTTCTACGACTACCTCGAACCGAGGAAATGCAAAGGGACACACGCCCTTCTGTTCTAAAAAATACAAAAATTAAAACGAGGATCATGAACAGTAAGTGGAACTGACTATATGAGTGGTAATCAAGGCAACCCATGATGATAAATGCACACGACAACAGCATTCCAAGCTCTCAATAGCTCCATTAATAGCATGCAATGATCCACCGTTCTGGTGCATGATGCCACCACACATGAGAGTAGCAACACTAGCGAAGGCCTCGTTTCTCCCAAGATCCTCTTCACTGATCAATTCCATTGCGAACCCGGTGGCTGTAGATCATGTCTCTAGAGGAAATTCTTCCCCTCCGACAACATGCGTGGAAGCTCGAAGCAAAGCCTTCTGCAACGAATAAATAACAGATTCAGTGCTGAGTACTGAAACGAATTTCCTCACACCACAGCATCAAATAAGTATACTGTTAGCATTACATCACATGGCAACATACAGGACAGTAAATAAACAAAACTCAAGCAGCATGTGAAAACTGTGACCCTCAATGTAATTCCGAGTCACCGGTACAAGTGCCCACATCTCACGATTGTTCAAGTAGAGAGCTATGCCTTTAATACAAAATTGCTAACCTCGAGGACAGGTTGATACCTAGTAACTGGAGAACAGACCCGGAATAAGGGTTGATACCTAGTCACAGGGGTGAAAATCCAAAAATGTTCATGCTCCTGTGGCTTCAAAGTCGTCCTGTCAAGCAAGGGTAAGACCCGCTTGTACTTCCAAAATGCTTATTCTAAAAAACAATGAAGGGTTTTGAAAAATATTTCCTACCTTCGGCACCAAGCTCTTTTATTTTCTTTCATTCTGGCTAGTTTGCAATGTGAAGCAATAGCTCATGTTCTGGAGAGTCGTTGCAATTCTCCAGTGTTGTAGTGTTGATCCTTCAGCCTTGTCCTTCGGGCACAAAAGTTGTTCATTTCAAGTATCTGTAATTGAATATTGGGTTTGTTGGAGCGCCGATTGTTTCCTTCTTTGGCTCCGGCTATTGGACAGTACAATGTTATTCCAACATATGAAGCTCATGAGTTTCTGCACATTTGTCCTTTAAATTCTTGACTTTTTGTCAAAGAGCTAGGTTTGATGGTTGCACAATGATTTGCTTCATGCTTTGATGGTGGTTTAGAAGAGTAGTATTTGTTGAATGTCGACTTCATCTTGCAATCTACAAGATTTGGTCAAATTATGAGCCAAAAATGAAAGCATTTAAAAAAGTCAAGTAAGATGTTTAGGACAAGATAAGAAGCAGAACAATGTCACAAATACACTATGCAAGAGACCAAACAAGAAGTAGAATAGAAGATTTTCAATAAAACAATTAACAAGAAATTAATTTAACCAAATAAGTATAAGATCAATATCAAGAGGGGTGAGCTAAAACTCCAAAAGTTGTATTTTCAAGACTAAGAATCTCATCAATTCCAACTTTAATATATATAAGGTTTTAAGAAGCTCCTCAAGAAGTTCCCATATTGCTTCAAGATGAAGCACCCTTAAAAAGCACTTCAAAAAGTTTTCTTGTTGCTTGAAGATGAAACAACTTTAAGAAGTTCTTCAAGAAGTTTCTTTGTTGCTTAAAGATAAAGCAATCTTAAGAAGCTTCATAAGAAATTTCTATGCTACTTGTAGATAAAGCAATCCTAAGAAGCTTTTCAAATAATTTCCTTAATCCTCCTAAAACTTTTTATAACCTAATAAAATATTCTAAAAACCTTCTAAAACCTTCTAAAAATCTTCTAATAATATTTTAGAAACTTTTGAAACCTTTTAGAATCTAATAGAAAATTTTAAGAATATTTCTAAAATCCTCTTATTGGATGTCTCTAACATCACCTCTCCTTCTAATTTTGAGTTCCTCAAAGAGTATTGATTTCATATCTACTTTCTTTGATACATACAACATCTTATTAGTAACTTTATAGAAAAAAGTCATTTCAAAATAAGTATAGGTTTTTGAAGATAGTGTTGATGAAACTTCCATATTTTTTGCAATGTATTAACTAGATTTTCTATTAGTTATCACATACACTTATTAATATTGTAGCTATGCCAATGAATAAAATATTTCAACTTGCCTCTTTTTCATCAAGAATCAAGGATCTTTTCTACTCCATATTCTATGTGATTATCTATTTCAATGTAAGGCAATGATCATTGTATTCTTTCTGAAATAGTTGATTTTGAATAAGCCTTCAAGAAAGAAGCATGAAAGACTGGATGCACCTTTATAAATATAGGTAGCTCCAACTAATAAGCTATTGAATTGATTTGCTTTTGAATCCAAAATGGCCCCAATTTTTGATAGTCTAACTTATTACATGTCAAGGACAAGAACTTGATGAAAAAGCAATTCAGACAAGTGAGCCTTCACTCAAAGAAAGGTAACAAAATATAAATAAACAAGTATGTATATTGAAAGAGAAACTGGAATGGCTATTACCAAAGACTAGAAACCATGAAGACTCTTGAAACTAGACTGGAAACAAGAAAGGAGTTGACAAGAGTGAAGAAGGCTTCACTCTTGTCTCTGTATATACTATCTAACTAAGAGCTACGTGGCGACGTTCTATAGGACCTCCAATATGTGTTGACTTTGTAGGATACATGCCTTGATTTACAAGGCAAGTTTTTCTACGTGTGGATCACATTGTTAGCTTGGCCTTCAAGCTAACAACATATTTGGTACATAGCCAACTTGTTGACCACGTTTCTTATCCAAGAAGTCAATTAAAGATACCTATAAAGTCAAAGTAGCATCTATAAACCTTCTAGGAAGCTTCCAAAGCAAATACTATAGAATTAAGCTACTTTTATCTACTTTTATTTACTTCTACCTATTTATACATATAATTACTGGCTTACATGAGTATGTCCGTGACATTACCCCTTTTTTAGAGATGAGTTCCATGAGGAGCGGTCATCATATATTGAGAAAATCTATGATGCGACAAATTATATTCGCTACATATTCTGATCTTTGTTCTCTTTGAAGATGATTAATAGGGCCTCTAAACCATCAGTAGTGTCCCATACTAGGGCAAGAAGACCATCCAATTATTTGATCATTGTTGAGGCCTTCATAACTTCCTTGAACTAGAACATTTGGAATACCATCAAGAGTTGTTCCTACCTCTAGTAAAATCACCAAACATTGGGAGTCCCTTCCTAAGTCGTGATACCAAATGCGTTGTACCTCGCCATCTATTTGAGGAAGAACATGTCATTTCTAAAGATCTTCATCTTGATTGCGACGTCTTGAAGGTTGTGACAATCGTAATGTCTCATCCTGCAGGTCAGCAAATGAAGGCTCTTGAGTCAAATCCACTGGTTATTGATTCTCCATCTTTTGAGCGTCACAACTACAAAGAAGCTACAAACAAGGATTGAAAGTAGAATGTTATCTTGCCTAATGTTGTTTCTTTTATAAAGAAGGTTTTCATCTTGATTTTGATGGATGTCATCGATGAAAAGCCTTCACCGCCTTTATTACATTTGCAAGATTCTTTGCTGGCTCCCATGTGTGTTCACTAATATCATATCCGTGTCAATGGATAAGATATTCTAATTTATTTTGGCATCGCCTTGAATCTAAGACTTCTTCTACTTCAAATTCTTTATTATTATCTTTTATAGAAGGAGGTGGAGCTTGTCGTCTTCTTGGTATGTCCATTGTCTTCTATAGTTCAAGAAGAGACACGTGGAATATTGGATGGATTTTCATTGACTCCGATAGATGTAAACAATATGTAAGTGGATTGATTTGTGTAGAAATAGAAAATGGTCCAAGCCTTCGATAGTTCAACTTTTCACAAGGACGCGCGGTCTTGATATTGCGACAAAGTAGCCATACCTTATCACCCATGTGAAATGGTGGTTTTTCCTTTCGATACACATCTGCATTGACCTTTTGTTGTTCTTGAGATTCTTTTAATTGCGCCTTCATCGTTGCATGTAGCTTTGATAAATGAATCACCAAATCTTTCGCAGCAGGATTATCAACTTTTGAAAAGTTAAAAGTATCAAGTCATGGATGATAACCATAATTAGTAAAGAAAGGTGTTTGTTTTGTAGAAGAATGTACCATGTTATTGTAAGCAAACTTTGCCAATGATAAAAGAGTTGTCCAATCATCTTATTGGTAGTTAATAGTACATCTTAAATATTGCTCTAAAACTTAATTAACACGCTCCGTTTGTCCATTAGTTTGAGGATGGAATATCAAAGATAGTTTTATATTCATTTTTAGAATCTTGAAAAGAGTCAGCCAAAATCTTGATACAAATTGAGTTCTCCTATCTGATATAATATCTTTGGATAATCAATGATAGCGATAGATATTGTCAAGAAAGAGCTGAGCTATTTTTTCACGTGCGATAGATTTTGCACATGGTACAAAATGTGCCATCTTGGTAATACAATCTACTATCACAAATATAGAGTCATAAGAACTTGAGATTGGAAGATCCGTAATGAAGTCCATAGAAACAGAAGACCATTGTTGTTCTAGAATGGATAATGGCTGAAGAAGTCCAAAAGGTCGATGACGAGGAGTTTTTGATCTTGAGCAAATATCACATGGTTGTATAAAATCTTTGATTGCCTTCCATATTTGAGGCCACCAAAAATCCCTAGATATCAACTCCAAAGTTTTATTGTATCCAAATTTCCTGCTGTTGGGAAGTCATGACGAGCTTGAAGAACACGTAAACGTGCTTCTCGTTCTAGAACATATAGGCATCCTTCAAAATAGAGTAGGTTGTTCTTAAACTCGAATTTAGAGGGATCATAAAATTTAGATGAATTATTCTTGATATCATGGACAAGAGGGTTTGAAGACATATTTTATTGAATTTGCTTGAGAAAAGTTAAATCAA